TCGAAGAGAAGCAGATAATCCGCGATATTTCACTAACAGATCGACGTGCAATCGAGTAAATGTTTCTGCGGTAGAGAGAGAACAATAGCCTGTGTGTTAAAGCCCTTTGTCAACCTGTTGCGTGGCGGTGCAACACACAGCCGCACATTTATACACATCCCATGCCATCACACCAGATCTAGTACTATTTCTACCTTCACTTACATATATAAATATATATAAATCTTTTTCTCTCCACATATGTCTATCTATTTATCTATCTATGTATTTATTTATCTATCTATTATCTGTACACATACATACACGTATATATGTATCTCTCTTCCTGCATTCTCTGAGTACGCTAGTGTACTTTTTATTGGGATGTTCTCTGTGCCCATTGTGTAGATCTCTCGTGCAACCACATAAATCACAACCGATCTCCGATATATCGGCGCTCGATGACTCGACCAACGTTTTCTTTTCTTTCTTTCTTTCTTTTTTTTTTTTCTTGTCGCTCTCCTTTTCATCGGTGTGTGTAACATAACACAACCGATAGAAATTCACCTACGAGGAAAGACTAAGGAAGGACCAAGAGTCCTTTCCGTTTTCAGTGTTCAGAATTCGTCGTTCAAAATTGTCGTTTAATGATAGAACCGAGGTGACAATTCGATGCATCGAGTGCAACTCCGCCCGAACTCGGGCAACGAAAACATATAGCGGAGGACACATGCCAAGTCGTTAAAAGCGTCGGTGAAACGTTACAGTGACGGCAGAACCTCAGGTAAACGGGGACGTGACCGGAGGGGAGTCGAGCGTCACGTCGACGCCACCGTCGCAAACGCAGTCGCAACCGCCGGTCTCAGCTACCGCGGCAAGCCCGTGGATCGACGACGAGCCGGTTGTGAAAAGCCCGCCAGAACCAACCAGGGTAAAATCGCCGGAGCAGATGATCATGCGCTCCCCGGAACCGGTCAACTGGACCGTGCCACTGGACACCGGGAAAACGTTCACTGTCACTCAAAACGTCAGAGAAGGTAGAGCTAACGTTAGAGCGAAATTTTTTCTTCCGTGTTTTTGCGAAAGAAAAAAATACTGAATCTCTGGTTCTGACAAGAATCGACTGACTTAACACTAGAACTACCACTAAAGTGGCCAAAGTGACCAATTTATGATTTTTTGTTAGATATTTTATAGACGCAAAAAACAATGTACTTTAATAATTTAAATTTTCGTAAAATAATACGAATAAAAGCTCGTATATTCCATTGTATTATAAAGTTTCTCTATTTTTTTGACTTCAATGTCTCTGGTGGAAATGTGTTTTAATCGTCTGGTAATTCTAGTGTTAAGAACATTGTCGACGAGCCCGGTCCGATTAACTACTAACTAATAAGAGATACTAACTAACTTCTTAGAGAAACATGGAAGAACTTTATTAATAAAAATGGTTCAGAATAGCAACAATGATCTCAAGATTTCAAGGAATTCTCTCTTTGATGCATTAATCGATACAATTAAAGATTTACTGCAGTCTAAGAAACTTTTTAACTTCAATTTTATGAAATCTACATAAAAAAAATAAGAGTAATTCTTATGTCCTCGTTTTTCATGCGATAGGTTTTACAAAATTAAACTCAAATTAATAGTTTTTCGACGTAGATTAATGTTTTTTTTTTTTCTATGGAGAATGTCGAACTGCATCGATTAATGCATTAAAAAAAGATATATTCTAAAAGATAATCTCTTGAAATCTTGTGGCTTTCTCTGTACAACTTTTCAAACATAACAAAATTCTTTCCCAAAAATAATGAAGATATTTAAGGTATTCAACTCTGTATATCAGAACTCTGATATACAGAGATAAGGTATTCAACTCTGTATATCCGATTCAACTCGGACTCGTGGAACGAATTTTTACTTAACATCGTTTATTTTCAAGAACCCCTAACGCGTCCGCATAGCGAGGCAAAGAGCTGGGCACCTTCGTCGGTTCCGTCGGCCCCGCAATCCGCACCACCCGAATTAGCGGCACAGCACAAGTCGCAACACTCCCAGCATTCCGGATACAAGTCCCCAGAAAGCGAGAGCGTTTCTATCGGTAGTTTTAGCGGCTTGAACGGACACAAGGACATGGATTCCGAAAGGGACAGTCCGTTACCTTCTAACATTCAGGCTGCCGGTACCACCGCGCAAGGTGAAAATGTAAGACTCTGTTTCTAGCAATATTCTCGACGATATTCTAAGAAAAATAAAATTTAGACTATGTTATCCAAATTGAGTGTCACATCTTTCAATAAACGACGATCATTTTTGGTGGATTTCATCGCAAAATACAAACCAATCGTCATAGAACAGTGTTACGAATAAGGTTTGCAAATTATTCACTACCGACGACTGAAGCATAAAATTTAAGTATCAAAAACATTAAAGTAACAAAAATGGAAATGCTTTATGATACAATAAATTGCTTTACAAGCTTTTATTTGCACATTTTTTGAAAAATCATTAAAATTTTTGAAAATACATTATTCCACGTCTATAAAAATTTCTAACAAAAATTAGAAATTGAATTTTGACCACATTGGTAGTTCTAGTGTTGAAATCTATTATCAGAAATCAAATTCGAAACTTACTATTTTGCACGCTCAATTTCACGAAGAAGAGACGTTAAATTAGCCAGCTAAGATAGCGTGATTTAACAGAGATTTTAATTTCCCGTGAAGATCTCTGAGAGGTCAATAATTCAGAGGCGATTGACGAACTAAAAAACTAAAAAACAATATCACAGTCTCCTAATTATAAAATTAAGTCGTAGATGTATATGAAAACGTGGTGGAAAATTAAGTTAAACGTTAATTAAGTTAATTAAGAAATAGCTAAGAGGGACATTTAAGCGATATTATATCCCGTCACAAATAATTAATATCATATATATAGACTTTCTATTAAAATAAAAAAAAAAAAAAAAAAAAAAACGAAGTTCAAAAAAACGTGATACTCAATTTAGATCGATAACCGTATACACTTCGAATCTATATACGAAACTGAATATAATGCTCTCTCAAAAATTGATAATAGAATAAATAGAAACTTCGGTCCACAAATTGCAGGAATCAGGCGGTACCGAGGAAGAGTCGAAAGAGCAACAAAAACCGGAACCATCGATAAAACCAGTGCCAGGGACGAGTTTAAGATGCTTGGAGGACCCGGGCTTCGAATACGATAGGAAAAAGGAGGGAAGTGGTCAACCGACAACATCGACTATGACGACACCG